GGTCCTTTTACGAAAATCTCTTAAACTCGCATTACTCATTACGAAATAAAGCTATTGATACAAAATTTGGCACAAATATTAGTTTTGTATACAAAAATTATATTTCAAGATTTTTTCACGATCGGTTCATAACATGGGTGCGGTCGATCCTATACATGTTTCCCTTCAGAAAATCACATAAATACTCATAACTTATTACAAAATTAAATAAATCTTGGGATTTTTTCTATTTAAGACATGAGAGAACTTATTTCTACAAATATTTGATCAATTAGAAAAGTATTATTATAAAAGTAGCTGGTGGAGGGTATTTAAGATTCGGCTCAGCCGAATATAGCACTCTAACTTGTTATATACTCCATTGTCAACTATCATAACAACTGATAGGTTTCACTATTAAACAATTTGTTTATTTACTACAAATAAATTGCGTCGATAGAAACAAACTTTTCAATTTTAATAGTTTTTTTGCTTCTCCTGTACAATTTTAAAAATGTTTTAGGTGACGATATGTAAGTGGTTTTTTCTACATTGAAAAAACGTCGATGTTTTCAAATATTTTGATTGGATTTTTTAAAAAAATTAATAATTTGGAAAACATAACAAGTTTTTTTCAACTCACAGATGGTCCAAATATGTTGGTAGCTATCACATTTCGAACAAGGTACATAGATTTGAGAGGGGTAACATAGAAATGTTCTAATTCATAAGCAGTGTTGTCAACTATTTTATACTAAAACGCGCCGTCCATTCACTCAAAACGCACTAAAAAGCGCAAAAATTACATTTTTACACAGTCTTAAAAAATATAGTATTTAGCTAAAATTTGTTTATTAAAAAAATACTCCTTAATTGGAATTTTGATTCGGGAACGAAATTTAAAAAATTAAGGTTAATACAAATATGTTCGATTTTCTTATTCAATGACTAATTGCTATTATCGATCAAGATCTCAATAACTAGTCAAAGAGATTTTTTGAAATTCCCCATAATAAATTTTAATTAAACTCTTAATTTCCAAAAAAACCAAGAGCCAAAACTTTGTGAAAAAAACTGAAGTAATCGTCAAGTTATTGTTTCCTTCACAGTGAAGTTATAAAAAAATAATGCAAAATTTTTGTGAATCAAACTTTGTGCGATCAAAATTATTTTTGTATTATTCACATTAAAATATCAATAGTTTTCACGAAATGTAATTTTAATTTCAAGTTCAAGTTAACCTAACTAAAATTAAGTTAATTTACAACTTTTCCCTTTTTTGACGTGAAAAACTTCCCTTGTTGTGAATTTTTTATAGAATTTTCTGATCAACAAAAGCTGTTACGATCAAAATCAACTGTTGTGGAATTTCACGAAATCAATTTTCTCTTCGAAGGGAATGAAAATTTAAGAAGAAACAAATTTCAATTCTTTTGGCGAAAAGGTGAATATTTTTTATTTTAGTTTTAAAGTTTTAAAATAACTCATCACACTAAAAGATCTTTGAATTACTCATAATATGGAAAGTTTAGAAAAAGGAACTTTAATAAATTTGTACGTTTCCGTTTTATCTTTATTGTTAAACTAGAATAATTTTATGTTATTAAAAAGATTTTTCATTTCTTGAAAAAAGCGCTAATTTAGCGCCTTTTTCCAAAAAAGCGCTAAGAGGAAAAAATGCGACTTTTGGATTGTTAAAAGGCGCTAAATCTAGCGCCAAAAGCGCTAAATTGGCAACGCTGTTCATAAGTGACTTTCTCAACAATCTATCTTTATACTTTAGCCTCATCCAATATTTTGAGCCAACATGTACCATGAATTTTAACTTAGACAACGAACGAAAAAATCACTTTTTCTAGTAAAATTTTTGATAAAAGTTGCGATATAATTTTTGCCCCAAAAAAACTCTCTTCTTCTTTAAAGCAACATATATATACATATACTAACCGATACTGAAAAAGTATTGTTTATTTTGCTACGATTTTTTCGGTCCCCTTTGGAAGGATGGTTGTGTTTCTATGTGTATGTTTGCGTTCACATGTGAAATATAAAGAATAACAAGTCGATATTGAAAAGGATATATGCGTCTTTTTGTAGTTTTTGTACGCGTATGTATGGATATGGACCATATCACAGAATACATAACCAGAAATGTATTGTACACTTATGATGAAAAGTATACTTTCGTTCGTTCGTTCAGTCAGTCATTCTTTTGTTTATTTGCAAACAGGCAAGAAAGATGTAAAATAAAACTCAACCTCTCAAAGGTTTCCAAGGACCAGAACATTAAAATCAAAAAGTAACAAAGCAAATACACAAAAACTGCATGAAAGGAACAAAATGGCGTAGAATGCTCTTGCCAATGTGTGAGAACCCACGGATTGATGTGGGTGTGGTTGAGTGCGTGCATGTGCTTATTTATTTTCTTTATACAAAGTATTGTATTCGTATTGTTGAGTTTAAGCCGTTTTTCGATGTAAACACTGACAAATGCAGTCATTTGAATAAAACTACAACTATTTGCGTTTTATTATTTTTTTCTTTCTGCAGAAACTGAAAACTTTATGCTTAAAATGAAAGTTGTTTTTCTTTCTTTTTTTGCGAAGGAAATGAGTGAAATCCTTGTAAAAATGAGAAATCTGGCTCAATACACTTGAATAAAATATTCACTTGCTTTTTAAATAAAATAATATGTTTTCTATAGTTTAAACAAAGATAACATAGTTTTTAACAGTAATATGTTTGTATTCATTTATGAACAATGTTGCTCGTTAAAGGCATTTTTGTAACCAACATCACTATAGGGATGGGATGCGTTTGTGCTGTTGTTTGTAATCATTTGGAACTATAACAAAATAATTTAGTATTAAATTAAGTTATATTCTCATATTCATATAATAACGGAGGTTTGGTGCGTTCACATTCTGAAATTAAAAAAAAAATGTAATGTTCCATACTTTTTCCGCAGAAAAACTACTTTACAGCTTTCTGCTTTCAAAAAGTTGTGTATAGATTATAGGACATACATCCGAACTTACATACATATTGATAAATTATAAATTAAATAAAAATATTTTATTTTATATGAACAAAGTAGGAAAAGAAATTTAACCACATTGACAAATTAAATATTTATTTATTACTAAAGTGGGCGTTTTGCATTAAAATTGTCTCGTTTGTCTGACAAAATTTCTGTTTTACTGTTTATTAATGTTAAAACTTCAAATGCTCAATCATGCAATATAATGTTAAGTTGTAATAAACGGTAATTAAAATGAAATAAACGATTATTTTTAATAACACATTAGTTTATTTATTTTTTAATTGTAATTTAATAGAGTACGTGGTCTATATACTATGTAAATTATTCTGATGTTGAATTCAAATGTAGTTAATTTTAGACATTTACATTAAAGGACAATTGTAGATAATAACTGATGAACTATTTTTATTTTTTATGTTAACTAATTTATTCCATTCCGCGTAATTACGTTTATGTGATATTCAGCAATATATACATTAAGTAATTGGTTACTATATTTCTGTTATATGTTATATCATATGTTTTCATTTAGAATATTTAACATGAATAAAGTTATATTTTTATAAAAGCAGTTAATTTAAACTTATTTATATCTTTAATAAAGTACACAGCTTATTATTCAATACTGGTCTTGATGTAGTAGAGTCAAAGCTTTCTATAAATTTGCTGCCCAAACACAAAGGCTTAGAAAAGTTACATACCTTTTCGTGCGGAAGTCGGAGTTCTGCAAGAACCCGTAAGGACGAATGTAGAGCATGGGGAGAGGCCAGCGAAACTCTGGAGCACTTCCTATGCCACTGTCAGGCATTCGTCGAAGTCAGATCCAAATATCTTGGGAGTGATACTATTCTGGGTTTATCATTCCTCACGCACACTGAATGGAAAATTATTAGAAATTACGTCCACGAAACTGTATTCAGTTAACACAATGTGTTTTTTACCAACAAAAAATTTGTCTTCCAAGAAAAAGAGCGCACAACAGGCCCGATAGTGGCCTAGGTGTTGTATTTCTTCGAAATGGATGTAATTATACATCCTCCAAGAAAAAAAGCGCACAACAAGCCCGATAGTGGCCTAGGTGTTGTATTTCTTCGAAATGGATGTAATTATACATCCTCCTATCAACCTAACCTTAAATGTGAATAAAGTTTAAATAAATTCTTATAGAATTTAAAAAGTTTTTAGTCCTATGAACCTCTGGTCCGATGGGTCCATTAGTTCTAACTTCAAAACTTAAATTCAAATTGTATTTACCGTTTAGAAATTACAGATTTATTTCCTTTTTTGACTAACAAACTGTGCATCGTCTTTCGAATATTTAAATTAAGTGTTTCAGGTTGAAATATTTCCTATCATTTCCTATCGTCATCAAACAACCAAAGTCTATTCTACCTCTAAAAATTCAAATGAATTGTGTCGTTAATAATATAGTTTCCTTAGTCAAACACAGGAAACGCTAACCGTTAAATCATCAAATTTAAATTGTAAATTAAATTTCGTAACAATATTATATCGCTAATTTATTACAAGACTTGCATAATTCTAAATTCTGGTTTTTTAAACTGAGGGCTACAAAACATGCGTCATACTAGAGTCTATTATATAGTTTTATCTAATTACAAATATGTCTATTAATTTCAGTGTGAAATCGATTTTTTGTTGCAAATTCAACAATTTAATAATTTTTTTGCGAATATTAGATTAAACTTCAATTTAGACGAAAAACATGTTTTAATTTTTCAAATCCTTTGATTTGTTATTTAAAAAATAGTAAAATGTCATTAAACGTTTAAAGTCATTTTTCTCGAAACGACTTTTTTGGATTATGTCAGTCTTGTAGTAAATCAGCGATATGTATTTAATGAATTATTTAAGAAAATTTATTAATGTGTCCTTAAATAAAATATGTCTATGTTGATATCATAATTTTATATTAATACAAAATTTGATTAATCCAAACTTGCAAATTACAAATTCTTTAAATCACCGACTTAGCTAAAGCAATAACAGAACCAGTAAAACGTAAAATCTGAAAAAGTAAATACATTTTTATAAATATTTTGTACGCATTAACTTTTCATATATGAATAGATAATTACCGCAGTCAGTGCTGGTAATGATGGAGCAAAAAATGGTACCTTTATAATAATTGCTCGTTGGGAACGTACCATAATTAGCAAAATCATTTTTTGGATTTTAACACTGTGTGTATACCATTCACTGCTATAGGCTTTTGTGGCCAAATCTTCGCTCTTTATTAGTAAGAGATTAAAATTTTTACTTTTTCAGACTATTACATCCATAACTGCATAATATTTAACTTACACTTTCCATAACAGTATTTCCGCCCAAACAGTAGAGAAAAATTTCTGTCAAAACGGCACAAGTATAAACTATATAGACTATAACGCCGTAGCCGGAAAACTAAATATCGAATGCAATATTAGGAATTTATTTTACAACAATATATTCTACTCACTAGCAAAAGATCCACAACACTGGTAGCTATAATTATACTTGAGGTAATAAAATGACACAAAGTTATTTCTACCATAATCAAGGAAAATTTGTCAGTAAGCTCGGCAACTTCATTATGACGTTCTATAATATCTTCCAGCGCCAAGCAAACCTTATCCTCGGACTCATATCGGCTATTGTTTTTATTTCCAATATCAGTCAATATACTTTGGAGGTCTTGTTGTATGGCCTTCAGAAGTGTGGAAAAATAAAAGCAGAATCCCAAAAAGAAACCATCAGCACCGACAAATGCTAAAACTGTTATATATCCATGCCAATGGACTAATATATAAGTTATCGGGTAAATTGGCATTGAAAGAAGAGATTCTGGAAACCTTTTTGAAAGAAAATTAAAAACATTATATGAATTTTCTTTTTTTGATAAATTTATTAGTGATTTTAACTTGCATCATTTTAAATGGTGTCTCGTAAATAATGGGTTGACCTTTGAGGTACAAAAACGTATTAGTGACAATGGGTCGTAAAGTGTATGAAGTACTGGTACAAAACCCAAAAAATAATACCAAAGCATTTAAGCGTGTTGCTGATGTGAAATATTTCTTTTTCATTTGCACTTTACCGCTGGAGTTTTGTTGGTCCGTCAAATAACGAACTTTTTCTATAAGAAATTTATATTCCTCTCGATACCACCAAATGAAAAATATTTTTATAAACGACATTATACTTGAGGCCACTGGGCAAAGCGCATCTAATGCCGAGGGTATATCGATGCTCAAGTAGTGAATGCCATAATAAAATTCAGCATAACAACCATAACCCAAAATTGCTATATTAAAGAAAGACCACAATTGCACCTTAGTTGTCCTCTCTGATTCCGGATAATATCCAATGAGACTCAAGGCAAAACGTGGTATTAAAAATAAATGTTTATTTAGTGGATAACTTTTTGTTAAAAATTTAGGCAACATTTTGTGCTTCGAATAATGTCTTCGATTCTACTATACACTACCTAATGATGGTAAATAGTTCAAATGAATCCTTTTAATACTTTTGGTTTTAGTGGTGGGTGTCTCCAAATGTGAATATATAAATGTATATCCATTATGGAGGCGTTACTTGCCTGTTAAATTTTGAACATTAACAAATGTTTTTTATTGGAAAATTAATTGTAATTTGTAATTTAAAGCTCATTTAAAATCACCATTGAACAGTAATTAAATTCAATTGGTAACGTCCTTAAATTAAAACTACTTAATGCGTGTGTGCATTAGAGTAGACCCAAAAAGGGTTGACGAGGTTAAAAAACTATTATTCATAAAGTCTATTATTGTCCTTGTGTTTTCCATGATATCAAAATTTTGTGTAAAAATTAGGACCTATGTATAAACACGTAAATCTTGGGCAAAATCTGTTAAATGGGCGTGGCATATTTGTTAACAATTTACTGGCAATACATATATGGGCAATTTCGAGTCAAGTGACCAAAATTTTATAATTGATGTCTTCCGATTTGGATGAAATTTGCACTTTTCGATAGGCCCTATCGGTCACGAACTGCCGGAATAGGGTCAAATTAGACATTTTGGACATACAGTGTTTTATTCAAATGAGTGTTTCATGGGCACTTGTCAAGATATTACCTTATAAAAAATTACTTTCAAAATTTAAAAAAAAATACCATCAAAAAAGATGGGGGTATATTGATTTCGTCACTCCGTTTGTAACACATCGAAATATTGGTCGTAGACCCACAAAAGTATATATATTCTGGGTCCTTATTAAATTCTAAGACGATCTAGCCATGTCCGTCTATCCGTCCGTTTGTCTGTTGAAAGCACAATAGGGTTCGAACGGAAAGAGAGTTAAAATTTCTCACAAATATTCCTTATAGGTAAGGTTTGTTTGGTATTGCAAATGGGCAATATCGGTCCACAATTTCGCATAGCCCCCATACAAGTCATAACCATTTTAAAAATACGAGTATAGAGATGAAATTCGACATAAATAATTGCTATATGTGTCCGGATCGGTCCATAATTTACCTTACCCCCATATAAGGTCCCCTTCAGAAAATGATATTAATACTCATTACCGGTTTACAAATACTAATATAGCGATGAAATTCGACATAAATAAGTTTTATATAAGCCAAAATCTCTCTACCAAATTTTGTGGGAATCGGTTCATAATTGACCCTACTCCCCATACAAGGTCCCCATCAGAAAACGACTTCAACGCTCATTGATTAAAAATAAGAGTACAGCGATAAAATTCGACGGAAGTAAGTTTTATATAAGCCAAAATCTCTCTACCAAATTGTATGTGGATCGGTCCATAATTTACCCTCAACACCCCCGCCAACATAAAAGGTCCCCTTCAGGTAATGACTTTAATGCTCATTACTGACTTAAAAATTCGAATACAGCGGTGAAACTCGACATAATTAAGAAACTACCGGAGGCCACTACCCCCCACATAAGTATAGCGGAGAAATTCGACATAATCTACTTTTATAGAAACTTAATCTCCCTTAATGCGGAAGGGGTCGGTAACTCACCCTACCCCCTATTAAGGTCCCCTTAAAAATATGAGTACAGCGATGAAATTTGACAAAAAATAGGTTTCACACAAGCTAAAATGTCTCTATCAATTTTTTTGAGAATTGCTTCATAATTGAACCTACCCCCACTTAAAGTCCCCTTCAAACCCCCACATAAGATCTCCTACAGAAAACCACTCTAATTGCTGGCTTAAAAATACGAATATAATAATGAAACTTAACACAAATATATTTTATATAAGCCAATATCTTTCTACCAAATTTTTAAGGATTGGTCTATAATTGATCCTACCCCCATATAAGGTGTCTTTGAGAAATTTACTTTAAAGCTAATTACTAAAAAAACCATGAATTTTGACATAAACAAGTTTTGTATTAATGAAAATCGCATTACAAAATATTATTAGGAACGGTCCTCAATTGAACCTACCCCACATATATAAAGCCACTATGAGAAAAGTACAAGTTCATCGTTGTACTCGCCCTTCAGATAATTACTTTTACGCTTATGACTAGAACAGCCATAATTGGCCCTACCTCCTATAATTAGAAAAAAATGGACAAAAAATTTGTTTTTAAAAATTAGTATTTTGTTAATTCGAAGACCATGTACATAATTGACATAAGCCTGATCTCCCTGATGTTTACAGAGGAGCATTCCTTTTACCGCATACGATTTGATTGTTGGTACATAAGATTAGGCATAGCCGAATATAACACTCTTACTTGTTAGTGGCTAGATTGAGATTTTGGACTACCGTACGTCTGCGTCATTGCTATTATCATTGCTAACTCTGTGCATTCGAGAGTTTCAGTGTTTCAGTAGCGCATTGATTTAATGTGCAGCGCCGGCTAACTGTACCGTGTTAAACAAAATTTGGAGTTATAACCCAACATTTACTTTGATACATGGTGGAGTACCTGGCATGGTGGAGTACCTGGCTTACTTATGCTTACTTTATAAACTTTAAATCTCGAAAAATTATACCGTTTGTATTCTGTGTATTATATAATAAATTTGGAAAGTGTTTATTTAATGTTATCATTGTATTATTCAATATGTTGTTCCTTAATTTTAAAACCTACTTTTACTTAATATCCTTTTCATTTACTTCTGTTTAGCATACAAACACAGACAGGAGCATACAAGTGTTAAGGTAAATACATTAAACCACGATGTGTAGGTTTTGTGACTAAATTCAATATTACAATCACAAAAATATATGTATGTATAGCATATACATAGGTATGTACATATATACATATATTTTTTACATTTATGTGTATATACATTGTACAGACATACATAGTCCTATTAATACAACATGTGTATATAGTTTGTAACTATTACCACGAAGCTCTATTGTCCTTTAACGTGACAAATTCCTACAAATAACGTTTATATGTTGGGGTATGTGGACAGAATATTTTGCTTGCAGTTTGTAGCATGTGGGGTACAATACATTGGTACATATAGAAGGACATTATTGTTGCATGACTGGCTGAGAATAATGCACAAAGGGAACAACCTGTTATCAGAGTAAGTGCCACACAAAGTCACATACACAGACGGAAAAACAAACGGAGGACAATGAATGACAAACTAAAATACATACTACTAATAATGAAAAATAAAACATATAAATAATAATGGTTTTAATGATAAAAAATAACAAATAAACAAACAAGGAAAGCACAGATGTAAAGGAAGGATAATGGTAGGAAAAAAATGAAAACAGCAACATTCGTGGTTAAACATCGCAAACATTTATTTGGTGTCACCAACATAAACATTTGTTGCAACAAACACTATTCATAAATAAACATAAACATGAGTGGTTTTAAATTTTTTTCTTTCAATTTCATTTTCCCCCATTCAATTTAATTGTATTCGTAATTGCAATTATAATTATTATAAAAATTGTATACCAGTGCTGAAACCAGTAAAACAAACAAATTAATTAATTTGTTTATTAGGGGAATGAATTGAATATATTCTGAACGCTTTGTTTTAAATTTAACACTGAACTTTGCTTTATGTGCAAAAATCCGGCATAAGGGAAAAAATATTTAATTTGCATAAAAAAAATATATCAGATTTTTTTATAATTAATTGCCACAAATTTAGTTAATACATAAATAAAAACAACTTTAATTTAAATAATAATAGTAACAACTACAATTAATAAATTGAGGTAACATTTTGTAATTAATGAAATTTTAAAATCATATCAAGTTAGGCTTGCCAACGTACTGTTGTCAGCAGTACGCGTACTTTTTTTATTAATTGTACTTTAACTGCATAACTCCTAAAGAAGTACGCAAATGTACTTATTTTTAGTATTTGTACTTCTTTTTGTACCTTTTTTTAATTTTACCATAATTTTATAGGTGTAATCATGACCATAGACAAATATTCTATAGAATCGCTATTTAAGGACTTCAAAGATAGTTTGAATAGTGCGTTTATTTAAAATGCTTTAAAGTTATTAAATTTTGATTAAGATATCACTGTAATGAAAGTTTTTAAAGTTTAGTTTTAACCATTTAATGAATGGTCTGTAAAGGTACCTTTGAATAGCAGAGTAAATGTTGTAACGTTTTTGTAACAGTTAGAGATAGAGAATTGTTTTATTTTACTGCATAATTTTTCTCCATAAAAATATATCAACATATGTATGTTCACAACAAAAAATATTTGAAATTGTAAACAAACCAAACGAAACAAAAATTTAGGGAATTTTACATTTTTTAAAGAAAATATATAAATTAATAACACACTAATATTAAAAAATGATTTGTAATTGGATTAATTTTATTTGTCATAAATTAGTTTTATATAATTTAATTAAAAAAAAAAAACAAGTAAGAGTGTTATATTCGGCTATGCCGAATATCATATCTCTTATATCAATTCATAATATATCAATTTTCATAAGTGTACACTAGGGTGGGTCAAAAAAAAAGGTTGAGTCAGTCACCCCCTACGATTAAAGATATGTTAATAACATTTCAAAAAATATAAAAAATATATTTTTGCCACGCCTAGAAATACCGCCCTTTCTGTTTTTTATATATAAAGTCGACATTTTAAGTCCGATCGTAACATATAATATATCAATATTTATGGCTTGATTGTAACTATATTTCACTCTTTGACAATTTTTTAATTCGACGTCATATTCTATGTGCGACTTCTGATATCTCGGATTCTTCTCCAAAATCTAAAATTGTGGCTATACTGTAATAAAGTACATTTAATTATATGAGCTATTTGCTTCTAAAATGGTCACTTTTATGCATAAACAGCTATTTTACAGGTATTTAAAACTACCTGTATAGTTCTAACTACAAACAATTAATTTGCTAGGGATATGGTCGAAAACTATTTTTTCAAATTAATTTACA